TGCGTGTATTTTACCGTACAACGCATGCACTCAGGACAGCTACAACAAGTGTAACCTGCCAATGCCACCAGTTAACCTGTAACTAACTGTACACCCGCATTCGGCTATCTTATATATGCAAGAACCCCAAATACCGTCTATGGGTACCCGGGGCTGGGTAAGCGGTGGCGAGTGATTACGCACACCATTACCTATCTCAGGCTACGCTGCTGAGCACTACGCGGCGTAAAATACCACGCCCCCCGGACCCCCCCTTAGTTTCCCTCCCCCCGATCCCCCTATGTCCCTCCCCTCCCCCGGGTCCCCCGTACCTCCCCCGCCGAGTTTTGCAATTTCTATGTATACGTCCATGTAGCACTTTTTCGACCTCTGTCCTATTCGGTTCTGAGGCGAAGTGAATCCCTAGAAATGATGCAGCTCAGTACAAGTGAAAATATTTGGCAGGGATAGGATGTTAGCTAGGTATTTTGAGAGATAATAACGGCGCATAAAGCAGTTATGTATAATGAGTATTACCTTTACACAGGGCAGGACATGAGAAATACTAACTAACGACACACATCAGCTGGTTTTGCGTCGTTTTAAGCATCCCCGATGAGGGCTTAAGCATTACAGAGTGCAGGATAACAGGGCATCCTAAACGTAAGAATGGTCTTAGAATAAACGCGGCAATACTGACCACACTCCCCTGGGGTTCTTTTAGGAGCACGCACAAGTGTGAAATTTTTGTATAATTAACTGATACATATACTGGCTGTGCTGCCGTTTCATATGTTTGTATACATACTGGGCCAGCTGGCTCGGCAACACACTAAACGACTGACACCAAATGATCAAGTGTTCTAGCCAGACGAACTTGTATCTGAGCTTCATTTGATATCGAGAGGAAGACAGCAAGAAACACTGATAACATCACGTGTTTACAAACACAATGTTCGTTTATTAACACAAGGTGACGACAATTGCGCGTATCTAGAAAAGAGAAGCAGAAAAACGAAAACAATGACAGCTGACAGACAGAGACAAGTGGGCATTTGTTTTCATCTAATCTACAAACATGTGATTTGAAGACGCCATGTCAACTTATCAAAATTCATAACAACGCACCACAACAGCATTCACTAAACTGTTAAGTCTTAGAAGCACAGAGTGCGATTTATAGGTACATGGCTTCAGGTCCAGATGGGATTTTTTCTTTTGTATTAAACTAGTATCTATTTTGAAGTATGACTATTGGGAGTACTATTGATGTTATTTGAGTACTAGGTGTAGAATTAACACATTACGGATATACTTGAGAATGTCAAAAGATCGTGTAATGAGAATAACAATTTTACACCTGTCTAAGCTTAGAGTAAACTACTATTATCTCATTTATTCAGAAGTCATTATCCCAGCATCATTTTACCACGAATTTACCCTTCCTCTTCTTGCTTTCATTTAGTCTCTATTAGTAATACGCACTGAACGAAAAAACAGATAGCAGTGATTGAAAACGCACACCTGGCATGAACCATGTCATGCTGTCACTTGACAAATATCGCTACTAATCAATATAATTGATACATTTAGGCACTATAGGCCATTTGCATGTTATATCTGAGCACTGCAAGGCAAATTTCGACCCGTCGGATGTCCTGGTCGAACGGCAATTCTTGACGATCGATTCCCGCGCTGGCAAACTTTTATTGTTGTGTAATTTAAACGGGGCGCAACGATTCAAACAGGGGGAAGTTTCCCCAAACGGGGCGCAACGATTCAAACAGGGGGGAGTTTTCCCAAACGGGGCGCGCGCCCCGTTTGCGCAACGTAGGGAGAACCCTGCACTTAAACTACTTAAAATTACTATTTTAATATGATCTATGTGTATCCGAATGCTCACTTGTTTGCATTATCGCGGTAACGTACATTAAAACCTCAGACATACCAGCGCGGTATGCGATTGATTTAACCTATATCAGAATGAGGAGATATTATTGGAGATGTTTCTCAGTAGACACTACTGGGACGCCTATTCTGCATATAAATAAACACTTAATATACGAAAAATGTGAACTAATATCAGACCAGCCAATATGCTGATGATCATTCCCCAAAGCAAGCTGTTAACATACAGCAAATGAACATGAGGTAAATTAAACAGGTTTTCGATTACCATAGCATATAGAACTTGCAGATCTATGTACTAAACCCAGAGAAGAAAGAATTCATGCTTTTTTGCCTCTACGGAATTAAACGTGGAAGCAAACAAAAAGCGAGTTGCAATTAAGTATAACAAATCAATACCCCAATCAATAAATGTAAAATTTTTAGGTATGAAGGTATGAAAACAGATCAGCAGTTAAAATGGAATGATTATACTGATTACAATACAAGATAAGTACAAGTATTAGCTGTTTCGGGTGGATACGGCAACAACTACACACAAAGTCAAACTGCGAATATTCTCTTTAGTTTACCTGCCGTGCCATATATGGTTCTACACTGCTAATAAATCTCCCCAAATCAGCTCCCTATACAGACTAATGCTCTACACGATTAAAGGTTATTCCCACAGAAATGATACATCATATAGACAGGCAGTACAGGAGCAGCTACTATTATATTATTGGCATGCAGTTACTATGTATATTTTTCTTGTTGTATAACATTGTATTGTATTGTATTGTATTGTATTGTATTACCTGGAAATTATAGTATTTTAACCACTGAATACTATTAAATCTGTCAGATTTTTTTCGCCATGAAAAGACTTTAGTACATGTACATGTATTTGAAATATATGCAGTAAAAATTTTATCATAATAGTGTGTAACCACGTTAGTTGTAGTGTTACAGTTGTGTTGTTAGTGTTGGTGAAATGAGTATGTTTATTACAAGTGGTATAGATACTGGTTATTATTACTACATATATCTTTCCAATTATAATATCTAAAGTGTGTTGGGAGCATTGTAAAAACGTGCAGGAATGCGTTTATATATACGCTTTGTCTCCTGTAGGTGCTTGACACGAAGGACCTCACAATAGAGCAGATCACTAATGCCGTAACAGGAGCAACGTTAGACTACACGCTAGGCGAACCTGTGGAGTCGTTCGGCTCAAAACTCGAGGTCATCCTCAACGATCCAGATACGGAATGGTACGTGTCCTGGCTTAACCCTGCTTTTGTGACCCTATATAGAACTATACCCGTCACTTTATCAGCATTCCTATTAATATCTATCTCTTGACCCTAACCGTAAGCCCTAATCCTAACTGCTGATCGACCCTAACCATAACTTTATTCTTACCCCTAAGCATAAATTGACTCTATCCCTACCCTAACCCCTACCCCTAATCTAATTCTATACCTACCACTAATCTAACCCTAACCCTAATCTAACCCAAGACCAATCATTAAAATCTAGGGTTCTCCTGGTCAGAGTTAGCTTGAGCACTATAGGTGAGAGTGTGCACTTTCACTTGCCGGTATTCGCAAAGTAAATAATAGAGATGTAACTATAGGGGGCCTATATGTCAATGTTTATTGACCAGTTTATAACTTTAGATGCTACCTAAATAACTCAGGATACGGGATGTACAGGCTATTGCAATGTATAATTCAACTGCTTGCATATCAGACTATCATAATATTGGTTTCAGTATGACAGTAAGGATTAAATACAAGACTTCAAGCGAAGCAAGCGCCCTCCAATGGCTAGCACCAGAACAAACTGCTGGAAAGAAGCATCCGTATTTGTTTAGTCAGTGCCAGGTGATTACATGCAATGTTTCAATGCATTCACTGAAACCAAAAACTGTGCTGAATAAAATCAAGTAGTCTCAGAGTAAAATTAGTTTGGTGCACAGTCTTTGCATCGATGGCTACACGTGGCTGTAATTTTGGTTCACCGTGTACTGCAGGCGATTCATGCTCGAAGCATCATGCCGTGCCAAGACACTCCAGCTGTGAAAGCTCCCTATACTGCCGAGGTAAGGCATATATATATTGACATTGGTCCGACCTTCACTTCTGCCTTGACACTATCATTTGTAAGAAATAATCGTCACATACGTGCACATCATCATGAGGCAATGGTTTGAGCCAGGTTTTGATCGAGCGTCAAGACAATGCTGTGTGCATTGTCCTTGAGCTTTTATATTTCTCGTCAGTTGTGTTGGGCTAGACACAAAGCAGTCTCACTACAGTCCTCTGGCAAAAGAGTAAATGGAATCTGTGTCTTCACCATTCGCCATGAGTTATTCGATATATGTATGTTTAGAATGACAGCCAATAGTTGAATGTACAGTTAGAGTATGTTTTTGAATGTAGCCACCAATCTGTGCATCACGCTGTCATTATGGGTGTTACGTAGATACGTGCACCAGCAGAACTGGTGGTGTTGATGAGTGCCGTGAGAAACGGTACGGAGGCTGACGCATCCAATTCCACATTAACAGTCCATCGTTTTGAGCAGAAGGTAAGATATAGCCAGGTTATGTGCAGTGAAGCTGTGCAGTCAGCGTATAGGCACGGGAGTAATGTGGCAGCACTGTAGCCGAGATAGGAAAAATTTTATGTAACTGTAAGCTACACTATATTGCACTGGGTCATGTTGTCATGAACCAAGTTAGTCTTAACATTAACTTTTTTTTCTTAGACCAATGAAAAGAATTATTTTGTAAAGTTGGGAGGTAACTTGCTAGGATTTTTTATTTTTGTAGCTTTACAGTGTTTCTGTCAATAGTCTATGGGTAAAAATTAAAGTTGAGAATAATTTTAAGCCTAATTTTGCTTCTGACATCAAACCTCTGGTCTTGAACAGAGTTTCACTTTTAACATATGGTTTTGACTGGAGTCTCCTTACAGTGCTGTGTGACAGCATAGTTCTGGTTAGACCTACATCATGTTGTCAGTATAGCTGAGAGTGTCTACGTTCCGGTATACCGGACCATACCCAGGGTACGTTCCGGCAGTACCCTGGGGGACATAGACCCTATGAGCGTCAGTATAGAATGCCGCTCGTTCGTTCGTTGTGTCGGAACTAGTGCCGGTTTATCAAGTCGGAAAATCTCGTTTCTCTAGTTCAGTGTGATGATGCAATGTCTGAGCATAGACTACTACCACTGTAGATCGTGCCTAGATGTCGGTAAACAAATAAGATAGTGGTGCAAGAAGTGTACAAGCGATTAGAGTTAGGTAGGTCCACACAGAGTACAAATGCGTACATGTGTATGCCTACCTGTATGCTGGGATTGTTGTCTTGGAGATGAGCTGAGTGGTTGTTCATGTTAAATCTGACACTCTTTAGCCACAGCTGCATATAGGAAAATAGCCAGTGTTTTGTGTCTTGTGTCTGCTTTGTAATTAAAGAGACCTGTTTAGATAGCACAGGTGATTTGAGACGAATTTTGGGAGGATGGGTAAATTACAGATTATTTCAGCTCCCCCATTCTCACTCATGTAGGTGTAAAAACTCCAGCTGCCATATGTAACATATTTGATGTGGACACATTCTCTTGGGAATTCCATTGGGGTGAAAATAGAATGGTTAGGAGCACAATAGAAAGTCAGCTGTAGTGACCTTTTTAATATGATGTTATTTGATAATAATATTGGTATAATGTTGGATAATAAATTCGTATATTATTTGATGTACACATTATTTCTGCAGGTCCCGATTCCAAGTTACCTTACTGCTATTGTCGTCGGAGCATTGGAGTCCAGGTGTGCTCTAGTTTCTGACATAACACCAAATTACATACACATTATGAAATAAATGAGCAAAGCTCATTAAAATTGTCAGGTGCAATTAGAAACTAGGTTAACTTAACAGTTTGCAAAATGGATACCTTTAACGTGCACAAGTCTAAGTTGTGCAATTAAATTAATTAACCAAAATTCTAATTGAAAAATTTAAGCAGCCGAGAAATTGAACAGGATTTTTCTTTTTTGCTTCAGTGATTAGTGAAATGACGTATTCAAATGGTGAATGTGTGAAACTATGTATTCTTTTAGAAAAATAGGTCCTCGTTCGCACGTCTGGTCAGAGAAGGAGCTTGTTGATAAGGCAGCTTACGAGTTTGCAGAGGTATATAGGAAAGGTTTTCTTTCTTTTTGGATACAAAGAATTTATTTTTACATCTGCCTCCATACATTGCCATATCGAAATTTCTCAAACAGTTGAGTTTCGTTAAATAATTCTTGCCCTTCTGCTTTCTGAAAAGTAGATACATGCTATCACCTATTCTACAATGGTAGTCAATTAGGTCGAGAGACATTTACACACCTAGATATTGATTGCAAGTCAATTGTGTATTATAATGCACTATGTTTCTTTCTAGACAGAGGAAATGTTAAAAGCCGGTGAGGACGTCCTGTCTCCGTACATCTGGGGTGTGTATGACCTGATCGTGCTGCCACCTAGCTTCCCATTCGGCGGGATGGAGAATCCATGCATCACCTTCGTAACGCCGACCCTGCTGGTAATGTCGCCATCTCATTTCTATATAGATGCTCGCTTGTCTTGTTTGGAATGTGCAGGTCGAGATGGTTAGCATTATAGGCTTTACGAGAATGAAGGCAGGACAGTACAATATTCACTGCAGGCAGCACTATAAAAAGATTTGGGTTGAAAAAAAAACTGGTGTGAAGATTTCTGATTAAAAAGCTTTTTGATGGACATTCCTACATGTCAACCTGATAAATCAGCGCTGAAACAGGGCTGGTGACCGACGCATGGTGTGTGATTTTACGCGCCGTCATTTTCCCGCAGGCGGGCGACCGGTCCCTGGCCAGCGTGATAGCTCATGAAATTGCTCATAGCTGGACCGGAAACCTCGTCACGAACGCAAACTGGGAGCACTTCTGGTGAGTGCCGCGCGCATGCTCGACCTCCTTACTCCCCCCGTCTATGCATCAGCTGAACCCTGAGCCGCGCGCTGTGGGAGTGGAACGCTGTGACGTCGTGTGGTTCTCTCGGCTACAGGTTGAACGAAGGTCACACTGTATACCTGGAGAGGAAGATCGCGGCACGCATGGCCGGTGAGACGGAGCGCCATTTTGAAGCGGTCGGCGGTTGGAAGGATCTGCAGGCGGCTGTACGTAGACACGACATTAATCGTGCCGTGAGGGAACAAATATAGTGTTTGCATTCCAGGAACTATTTACGCTAGCGTAGGGCTACTATTTAGCGTCCTCTGACACTTCGGTCAACATAATTTATTTGTATTTTCGCCCAAACCGCGTCCGACGGGGTAATTCAAAATAGTCATCTTCAGAGCAAATTTCTGGCTCAGGTCATTAAGAACACTTCGTGATGGTGCACACTGCAAGTATGCTCACAGTAGCTGTATATAGGCTTTTTGTTGCAAGATTTATCCACATTAATCGTGTAGTGAGGGGGTGTGAGGGAGGACGAGTGGGGCGGGGAGAGTAACGAGGGAGGACGAGTGGGGCGGGGAGAGTAACGAGGGAGGA